AAGGTAATATGGCAAAATCACCATTCGTGCCAGAACACTCCCAATGAAACCACAGGCCACAGTCCTCGCAACCTGTCCCCTGGCTAACCTTCCTTCTGCAGGCCCCACATTTACCTGATAAGTCGTTACCCCTTGTGGTCATTATTACCACTTATGTTAACTTATAATTCAGTACTAACTAACAGATATATTTAAAGAGTCTAATTTGTGATTAGGACTTACAAGAGTATATGCTGGCACAAATCTTTTAAAGCCCACTGTATACAATGATACACTTATTTTAGGTTAGGCCCACTGGTACACTTGCAGTAGTACAAATCAACTTACTGAAGATATAAAATAACACACTTCTTGTAGGTTAGGCCTACTGTACACTTACGAAAATACAAACAACTTATGTAAGATATAAATAACACTTGTGAAAATACAAATCGACTTCCTTAAGATATAAAATAACATACTCCTTGTAGGTTAGGCCTACTGTATACTTACGAAAATACAAATCAGCTTCCTTAAGACAAAGTAACACACTACTTGTAGGTTAGGCCTACCAGTACACTTATGAAAATACAAATCACCATATTTAAGATATAAAATAACAAGTATGTTTACTAATTCTACTGCTAATCTATATTAACAGAAAGTTTAAGTTAAAAAAATGCAGTTTTAGGAGCTTTGAGCGGAAGATCAGATACTAATAGCTCACAATATGGCGGAAAATGGTCTAGGAGCTAAGCATGGCTTAAGAGTGAGTAAAAAAAGGAAGAAAACGTTCAGTATAGAAAAAAAATTTAAATAATAGCTTCACTACAGTACACTTGTTAAAGAAGATAACCACTTATTTTTTACTACTGACCGAATTAAACTGCTCTTTTGTACTTAAATTAAGGAACTCTCAGATTCTCACACTGCCACTCAACGCGTCCTTCACAGATCTGTAATACCCTTTGGAGTACAGATGAGGCTAGAATGAACTTGTCATTAGAACTGTCATCTGTGTTATCAGTGTAGACACCCCTATCTGACTGGCCCACTGGTTGACCTTGCTTGTACACCTCTTGACAAGGTGGAACTTGAGCTTTTTTCATCTTGTCATCTACCTCCTCATCTGTTTTGTCAGTTTTCCTAATTGCCTCTTGCTGTAAAGTGCTTTATCCAATCTCAGTTTGGGAACTCGGACAAAGGAGAATGTCCACTGCTGGAAGTTGCTACCAGAAGACTGGTGAAGACACAGCAAGCTGAGAAAAACTTAAGTGCGAGTTGTATATATAAATGATCAGTTAAACCATTTACCAATTCAAACCCTATCTGTAGTCACTTGTACACATGACAGTACACTTTATTTTCTGAAACACTGCATTTCGTACGTTTAAGGGCAAATAAGAACCAATGCATTAGCTAGGAGTTTAAATGCCATCCCTTAAAGTTTAAGAAACTGGTTGCTGCACCATATGATGTGCACAGAGGAGGCAGATTGACATAGCATACCAATGTTAATGCCAAATAATATTATGGTGAACAAGAAAAACGTAATTCAACAGTGTGTAACTACTCAGCCAGGCAGAAATGTTGAAAACTTTTAAATAGAAGACTGACTCAGTTCTCTTAGAATGGTTTATGAAGAAATGCGCATTAGATACACCAGTTAAAGGTTCAGTGTTCATACAGAAGTCTGAAGAAATAGCCTTAAAACTAAACATTGAATTCACACCTTTGAATGAATGGCTTGAAACATGCTTTCAAAAGTGAAAGCTGTCATGTGGACAAGAGGGGTAAAGATGGAGATACTGTTCTTGTATGTGCAAATATGGATGAATCTGAAAAGTTGCCATTGCTGGTAAGTGGAAAGTGAGGAAAGCCAAGATGCTTGAAACACGTGAAGTCACTGCCATCTACATAATGCACATAACAGTGGTGCAGTGGCACACCTTATGTGCTGTTCATGGCTTTCCTAGCATGTTTGGAAATGAGATTAGCCAAAAACTGGAAAGTATTGTTTTTAAATTCATTGTGCAGCATCCAACAAAGATAGTAGTATTCCTGCCACCCAACACAATATCAGTCTTACAGTCTATGAACTAAGGGATATTCAAATCTTTGAAACAAATATTGTAGCTGCCTTGTTTACAAGTGCCTGAAGAGAATCACAACTATCAGTGAATCCTTCAAAATATCTTTGTTTGATGCTATAGCCATGCTTGCAGCATCATGGAATACTGTCAGTCAAGAAACAATTGCAGATTGTTATCAGAAGGCCAGATTCCATGAAACGGTAGAACTTCACAATGAAGATGATTTAGAAGTAAGATGATGTATTTGGAAAGATGTTCAGAAGGAGATGTATGTGACATTCTTATTTGAAGAGTATGCAGAGACTGGTGACAAGTCATCATCCTTGTGCTGTTCAGGAAATTGACACCCTCAGTATTGAAGACAAGAGTACAGAAACTGATGATGAGGAAGAGGGGCCAGCAACATGTAAACCAAATCTAAAGTATAGTGCATGCAGTGTTTGGTTACATACCACCACTTCCTCAGTAGCATGCCAGAGTCAGTCATCAGAAAACTCTGGGAACTGGGAGATTTTATTTAGACTTCTTTGAAAGATGCGATGACATGAGGTATGTTCTTCAAGAAAGAATACATTTTGGAAAGACTATTTGACTTTAACTGTGACAGTAGGTGTTGAGAATCATGGACTCAACGAGATGCAATAACGCATGCGTTGCCAGTAACGTTGCCCCAGGGTGACGCAACAGCAGAGGAGCTGTGTTGGGCAACACTTCCCCACTGTGACATAACAGCGGACACTGCTAGGGCAACAGGACAGTAAACACTTCCCCGCTGTGACGTAACAACAGGGAGCTGCTAGGGGGCAACAGGAAACAGAAACCATTCGCTGCCTAGCAATGGCTGAGTAAACAGCCGGTGCTAGGCTGTTTTCTGTAGATCTGACTCTTAAGATATATAAGAGGATACATTGAGTGGAAGTTTACAGAGGAACCCTGTGTGGAGGTGGCGTCGAATACCTCCACCGTGACCCTGCAAGTCATAGGAGGTGACAAAAAGGGAAGTCTCAATTCTGAGACAGTAAAATATGGTCGCGAGTCCCAAGGGACTCGGACCCAAGTAAGACTGCACTGGCAAGGGCCAGCAGCATATACAAAAGACAGACCCGACCTCTCGTCAGAGAAGGCACCCAACAGAAACAAGACTGTAACTGTCAAATGGTAATAATTAATATGGGGCTCGACACGAAGACTTACTGACTGACTGATGGTCAGTCGCAATGTGACTTTGACTTTTGAAGTTTANACTATGACTTAGCGCAGATAAAGTCGTGTCTTATTTATACTCTGTTCTACTGACAACAGGCCAGCGAAAAATCTAACAATCTACAGCAAAACCATCAATTATTATGGGCGTTATAACATAGGTGTGCAGCTGGACGAAACATACACGTCGAACCCCCCAGACGATTTAAATACCTGACGAAACATACACGTCAAACCACGGCAACGGGTTAATACAAACTATGACTGACAAATGACAGACGCGACCTCTCATCAGAGAGGGCGCCCCAAATGGACAGGACAGTAACTTTCATATAAGGAAACAACAAAAAGAAAAAAAAATCTCGACGCCAAAACAGACTGGCTGGCTGGCTGACTGACTGACTGACTGACTGACTGACTCTCAGTCTCAATGTGACTTGGACTTGGAAGTTTACAGTTCTGCAGTTCTGCAATCTAGTGAGAGTTGATACAGAAGGAGCGACTGTGAAACGACTTGTTCAACATTTGTGTTATAGTTACGTTGAATTGTAGTTACGGCGTTGAGTAATAAAGTGATTCACAAGAATACACTCCTCGAGGTCTTGTTTCACAACAGTAGGAACGTATAATGTGTATTTGAAAGCCCATGTATTTGGCATGTTTTTAGCCTTTCTCTCACTGTAAAAGTGTGTTTATTCAGTTAGTTTTATACAAAGGATACGTAAACATTTTGGAACCTACTCTTTTGAGATTTTCCCTGCTTAAAAAGTGTACAATTGTTGGTCCCCTGGAAACATTCTTAAAATGAATCCACACTATATAGTGGCTAAAACTCTGTAGCAGGAGGGACATTCAAAGTAGAAATTAACTTTACTCAGATAAGTAAAAAAAGAGGGTAATGAGTATTTGATATACATCACAAAATGCCACTGTACTTGCACAGTGCTCTAATGGCATGACTACCATACATATTGGCAAGTTTACAGTGTAAAGTGTGCAGCATGTTTGAGTTTTCATGTTCCTTGTTGGAACTACAATAGGAAACGGGAAATAGAAAAGTTACATCTGTATATTTCATTCTTTGTTACAAATGATAAAACAGTTCCATCCAGTGTGACTGTTGAAGTTTTTACTACTTCACTTCTTTATTTCTGTATTTTAAAAATCAAAACACCCAATGTAATAGTAGTTTCTAAAAGTATTGATGTTCCCTCCGATGATGGTCTATAGGGACCGAAACATGTTAGGGTGCTAAGAAGTGAAGTAGTAAAAACTTCTACAGTCACACTGGACGGAATTGTTTTATCACTTGTAATATTGTTAGTTTGATGGATCAGAATGAAACAAATCAAATTCTTTCTTTGTCAGTAACACAATATATAGTAACTAAAATTTTAAAGAATGAAGAATACTCAAAGAAATTAAGGCATACCCATGTGTTCAGAAAAGGAAGATTGAGTATAGGGATTTTAATCATATTCAGAAACTGTCCAACAGTACTTGCACCTCCCATTAACAGCTGTGGCTTACCTTTCATATTGGCAAGACTGCAGAAAGAATTAAATCATTGGGTGTTATATGTCAGGTTTGTTGTAGGAAACAAAAATGTTACATTTCTATATATGTGAACCAGCATGGAATCATTGCCTAATTGTGTTGGAAAGTATAAAACACTCATGGTGTTGCATGATATTTTGCTCTTATTTTGTGTTACCTATGTTACAGGCCAGGTGCCACCATATCCAGGCAGTCCAAGTTACTTTATGAAACTGACACTTGCAATACTTGGTCCAGTGTTGGCTCTGGGTTTGTTGGGTGCACTTGTGTTGTTTCTGATGCGACGTACACACAGAAAGCGGCTGATGTCTGCAAGGAACATGGCAGATCCAGAGACTTACTATGCATCTGATGATCTCAGAGTAACTGCAGCAGGGGACAGTACGCTCAGGGTATATTAATGTTTCTTTTCATTACAGTATTAAAGAAATACAGTGGAACCTCACTTAACGAGCATAATTCGATCCAGAATCTTACTCATAATGTGAAACACTCATTAAGCGAAACAATTTTTCCCATATAAATTAACGTAAAATATGATAATGCGTTCCATGCCAAAAAAATTCTCAAAAAATTTTATGTATAATGTTTATTCAAAGAAAATTATATATACATTGTGAAGGAGTGTGAATCATCTTCATCTTTTCTTCTATGCGGAATGAACCAACCTGGAATGCGAATTCGATTTGCAGAAAACAAACAAAAAAAAAAATAAAAAAATCGAAATAATGATTTTATTTATTTTTATTTATTTTAGTTTATGGCTGGGCAGTGCATTATCCTCTGCTGTTATATAGGTTCACTTCGGCATCCTTTTCCAGAAGATCATCCTGATCCTGGTGTCTTCTTAATGAGGTCAGCGAAAATCACTTTCGCCTTCTCACATACGATGTTCTTGTTAATAGTGTCACCTTGCAATTGCTTTTTGTTTATCCATATGAGGAGCAACCTTTCAACATCGTCAAGAATACATAACCGTTACGTAGATATTGTCACTCCCTTTGAAGCATCTATCTCCTTAACCTCTAACGTACGGACTTTTAAGTTGCCAGCAGCACTGTACGGCCGGAATTTAAATCACCCTAATTAATTATCATTGCAAACTTTCAGAAAAAAATGCATATTTTCCGTTCTATGCAACATAGAAATATGAACTAAAAAGAACCTGAAAGACAATGAAATTTTCTACATATACATAAAAGAGCAAGTTTTACAAATGAAAATTAACTGTGATCATTTTGTCATGAAACACAAAATATAATCTTTATTATGTATGTTATGAAATTCCAAAGGACTTCCCCATTGATTTTTCTTCAACCTTGAATCGTGGTGATACCGTAAATATAATCACACTATATACAATAATATTTTGTTCAGACTGTACGCGAGTTTGAACTGCGTCACTTCACAGTTTACGATAACTCACACTCTGATGCTCGCGTGTGTCCCTTCTCGAAGCAGTCCACCACACATAGCGCAATGTCACACTTTTTACAGTAGTAGAGTGTGCTTCTGCGCTTCTTATTCCGAGGACAAATACGATGTCTTTGTTTTCCTTTGATTGGCCAGTGTAGTGAATGTTTCACCTCCAGTCAACGCAGTTGGGGCCCCAGATGAACTTGGCTTCCCCCGAGAAACGCCACTGACCGTGATATTTGCCTCATGCGACTGAAGGATCAAATCCCGCAGTGATATTTTGCGGAACTTTTTGTGTGTCATTTTTCCACCACATGACTTGTATAATAGATATGCATTTAGAATAGTCATATCTAGAAGGTGGAATAACAATTTCTTTATCCACTTCCATGTCCTCCTAGCAATGCCATAACTGTTTACCATCCTGTCAGATTTATCAACAAAGCCCATGTGTGCATTGTAGCCTTCAGTTACATGGGGTTTGACAGCATGGCCAGATTCATCTTGGAAGTTGCCTTCCAAAGGATGAGGGTGCAAATTCGTCAGAACATACACATCACGATTGTCTTTACAACGAACAACACTTAGATGCCCCTTGACTCTTGTAACAACGTCCACTTTTTTTCAATTTCATTGACTTGGGCGGAATTTCTTGTGGCATTCCACACCTATCATTGCGAACGGTGCAACATGAATTTATTTTCCTGTCTAAAAGATCGTGAAATAAAGCAGGAGAACAGAAATAATTGTCCATGTAAATTTTGTGTCCCAAGCCTTCTACTCCTCGAATTAGCTGGAGAACAATGCCATGTGTCAATGTAATTTCTTCTGTTGCAAGTTGCCTTTGTTTGCCCAAATAAACTGTCATGTCATAAGTATACCCAAAAAATCACAAAGCTTGTAAATTTTTATACCAAAACTTTTGCGTTTCTTTGGAATATACTGACGAAAAATAACTCTTCCTTTGAACAACACTATGACTTCATCAACAGCAAGACGTTCTGCTGGATTGTAAAGTTCACAAAATTTGTTGTTGAGATTGTCAAAAATTGTTCTAATTTTCCAGAGCCTATCATACTCTGGGTCATATCGATTGGGAGGAGCTTCATTATTTTCAAAATGTAGGAGTCTCAAAATATGGATGAAACGGTCTCGTACCATGGTGTTACGGTAGAATGGAGTGTAATATTGCTCATCTCTTGACCAGTAATCTTTGAGGGTGTCCCGTTGATCGTGGCCCATTTGAATAATTATTGCCAAAAAGTTATATATCTCTTCAATTGTAATGTCAGGCGGTTGAACAGAAGGGCCTGGAGCATCTTGGCATGCCATAAATTGGTGGAAATATCTCTCGGTTTCTTGTAACAAGATTTGGAATATTTGTTGGAAAAACAGAATGAAAATGGAAAAAGGAGAGGACTGTGCATTTATATTGGGAGCAGCTGATCTGTTGATTCCACTCGGAGGACCAGTGAAGTCTAGTACATTTGGCGAATCCCCGGGTCTTCTGTCACGAAACCTAATTTCCGTTTCCTCTGCCTTGTCTGATGATGATGATGATGGTGATGAGGATGATGACATATTTCCTTGAGGTTCAACCTTATTGATATCTTCTAGCTCTTCATCAGATTCCTCTTCCATCAATATTTCCTCCAGTTCTTCTGCATCGAGAAGTTTGGAATATTGGGCACGTTTTTGGGGTTCCGTCTTAGAGGAGGGGGGTTTCCAGCAAAATCAGATAAATTATGTTGATTGACAAAGACTCGCAAAATAGTGATGCAAAGTAACTGTAATAGTATGGTACAATAGGCCAGAAGTGGCAGCAGTACAAGGAACTTAGTCCCACCCTGCTAGCAATAAAAATAATAATTGTAATAGTAGTAGAAAAGGTGCCAGTCCGACACTGATACAGAAAGTCACAGTGACGAAGATGCCTTTTACTCACAAAGTAATACTGGCTCAGTGGGTTTATACCTCTTCCAAGGCACAAAATAATATAAAAAGAAATATATGACAGTCTGATACTAACTTTTTAAGTGAAAAAGAAATATTACACAATCCAATACTGACTTCCAAACTGATAATTCGTCACTGAAAACCAATCCTTGAATACGTCACACTTCCTTGAAAGCTCTGGAAGCACTGACCTGCAAGCACCGACGAATATTTCCTCTTCAGTTCTCAGAACAAAGCTGGCCTATATTTGGCTGACCAGTTCATAAACAGTCATATATAAACATTAATAGTTTCAAAACCAGGACCGAGATAAATGATTTCTTTGTTCAGAGCTAAGCAATGAACCACTGACATGACCTCACATAGGTTTCTTTTGGTTTCAAACCCAAGGTCAAACTTTCAGCACTCCCAAAGAGTGCACATGTCCTGCAACACATATATGTGCCATTCGGCCCACTCTGGTTGCTGCCTGCGTCACATACATGTGTCATTCGGACTTTAAAGTTTAATCTTGTCCTTGTTCTTGAGGATAGTGCAAATCGTTGATGTAGACTGATTGTATGTGCGTGCTAGATCAGCCACGCTCTCACCTTGTTCTCACTTTTCAATGATTTTACGTTTTATTTCTACGGTTATTTTTATTCTCTTATGGCTGTCTTTTTGCGGCTTTTTCTTTGGGAACATTTTTGCAAAGGTTATTGAACTTGGCACAAAAAAAAATCACAAATAATATGTCTGAACACAAGTTTGGAAAAATGTATGATCACAAGCGACACTAAGATGCTAGCGGAATGAATGCTAAACACAGACTGATGTAGCAAGCGCACAATCCGGGACTTGCCCTCTCATCGCTCGTTATGCGAAATGTTGCTCGTTAAGCGAGTCATTTGTTTTTTACAATTTGTTTTGCTCGTTATGTGAATTACTCATTATGAGAGGTGCTCGTTAAGCAAGGTTCCACTGTATTAGATTGTTCATAAGATGACGGTGTCATTGTTTTTCGCTTTTTATACCACTAGTTCATCAGAAGTGCTAATTTATTTTTTATTGTTATCATTATTTCGCCCCCCCCCCTCCCCAAATGTTATGGGTNACTCGCTCGCCATGTCATAATTGTCCTTAGGGTTTCCAAGCACTATACATGACACATGACTGGCAAGCGCTGACCTAACATGGCTGACTGAGCATTCTCGTATAAGCTGACTATATAACTTTATTAAACGTACATTCACGGAAAATCTCTTTTGGAATTTCGTTTCCATTATCTCATGGATTATTATGGGACCACGTATGCACATTTCGTAAATTATTTACACCGTCCCGGGTAAAAGACGCCTCATCACTGAATAAAATGACGCTTAACAGTTGGGGATGATCTTTTATCCAGTGGCACAAATCCATACGCTGTGCATGGTCGCCTGGTTCCACATGTTGTACCCTTTGATCATGGTAAGGATACAACTCTTCATCATGTAAAGTTCGCCACACCTGCATACGTGATACGCCGATGCGAGAGGCCATTCTACGAGTGGACGCGGACTTCTCTGAACCATCTCAGTAATGTTCTCTCGTGTGTTTATCATTCGTACATCCTCCCTTTCAGAGTGCACAGAAACACTCTGAAGAGAACCAGTATCATGCAATGTCTGGTGAATTCGCGTAAATACACTTCGAGATGGAATCCTTCGATCGGGAAAACGCCTTTGGTATTCTTCAACAGCAGCACATGCATTGCCACCACAAAATCCAAACACAAAATGCATATCACAATATTCCATGTGTGAAAACACAAAAGGCATTTCAGCAACTCCGCACAACTAATTACCAACCATTCACGACGCGGCAGCAACGTACTCTGTATGTAGCACATGAGCTTATGGCTAGTGTGAATCACCACACTCAAGTACAAACAGAGATAAGACGTCTCAGCTGACAGGTACAGTGCGTGGACCCGCCAGAAGACCACACTTTTCTCGGGCCATTATCTCCGTAACCGTTCAACTTAGGACATAGGTGTTTTGGGTTATATCGGCATACTTTAACATAAGGAACACCCTCCCGAAGTTTTGGCACATTCCTCCTGGGACACCCTGTAAATGCACACACACACACACACACACACACACACACACACACACACACACACACACACACACTATATGTTTGTCTGGTCCAGTTCCCTTGGCACCCGAGATCATATTTTACTGTCTCAGGTTTGAGACTTCCCTTTTCGTTGCCTCCTATGACTCACAGGGTCATGGTGGAGGTATTTGACCCCGCCTCCACATGGAAATTGGACTGTAAGTTATTGTTCATAACCCCATGCAGATTATAGGCTGTCTGATTGGGCATAGCATACAACTGTTGTGTGTGAATGGCAGCCCATGAGGACATATTTTTTCAGTGCAACACATGTTTACTGTTGGACATCACCTAATAGCATTCTTCCTTAACCTGTTAGACTGACTATGAGATCACATTTTGTGATTCCCTTGTGTCATATGTATGAGTAATATTTTGTTTACTGAAATGTTCCTATGACAAGAAATGATGGGTGTTCCAGTAAACCATCAGCATTATGATGAATCTGTGGAAAGCAATCACGAGTATTTGTTGCAATCTCCACGAGATCTACCAAATGTTATGGTTGAGTGATTAACACGTTTTGTCATTCATGAGGTCCCAGGTTCAGATCTTGGCCCATACACTAGCCATCCTGCCTGAGACTTGTTATAGTTTTCCTCAGTTAATCAAGGTAAATTCTGGGATGGTACCTCATTTAGCAATTACTGCTTTGTTCCACTTGCTTCCCTGTTAATAATTAATTAATCTTTCTATTATTTCGTGACATACAGACTATGATGTATTGGCCAAACTTCAGAAGTGTGTTCTACAGGTCATTTGGAGCAAGAAATGTCCAATGAACTGTGGGCTGATTTACACTGTTGTCAAGTTAAGCACCTAGTGGAGTGAACTGGAACTGTTTTAACTTGACTGAGTTCCTGCTTGTACACTGTCTAGGCTAGCGTGACTGTGTTGTGTTGCAGTATGGTTATAGCCAAAATATCTAACATGTTTACAAATGAAGAATACACAGACATGCACTTTCTGCAGTGGAAATGGTGAAGGTTGTTGTATTCCAGTATTTCAGGGATACTCAGGTTCACCGAGCTCTGAGCAATTCAATGTATGAGGGTGGGATTAAGCGAACAGACAACAACAAGCAACTGCATTTGTAAGAGTAATGAAAGGTGGATGAAGTAGAATTAGGCGGGCACTTTAAATATTCCCTACAAGGGGTGAGGCCACAGTCCTGCTTGTCTAGCCCTTGTGACAACTGGAATCTGACTCTCTGTGTCTCACCTTCACCTCCAAGCTGCAGTCTGCCTTGTACACCAATCAGTCTAGGTTCTGTCCTTTGCACATGTGTGGAAAGGGAGGAGACCACACACATATTTGTTTAATCTACACATTGGTTTTTAGCTGGTCCACAGCTTGGATAGAATATTTTAAGATGCCCAAGGAATACAAAATTCAGTACACAATTATAAAAGTACTCTCACTTCCACATATGCAACACCTCCCCTCCTCAGGGGAGACCAATTTACACCTTAATTGGTCTCAGAAACAAGACTTGGAAGTACGGAGGACCTGCGTAACTCCGGTTCTGTATGTTGTTTTTATTTATTTCTCGTAATGGCATATGATACAATTGAAGAAATTCTTCAGGAAGATGGAAAAGGTGACACAAACAGCATCATATTAGGAGACTGGAATAGCATTGTTAGAGTGAATCATATCAGAATATTTTTGGATCACATGGACTAGGAAGATGGAATCACAGGCGTCAAATGCTTATTGACTTTTGTGAAGGAAATGGACTGATTGTTACCAACACTTGGTTCAAGAGACCATAGAGAAGACTTTATACATGGAAGGCACCTGGGGATTGGAGGTGGCATCAGCTGGACTACATCCTTGTGAAACATCGATTCAGAGACAGTGTGAAGGATGTGAAGACGCTGCCTGGGGCAGATATTGACTCTGACCACAACTTACTGGTTGCCAAGTTTCAAACCAGGTTGAAGAAAATTATAAGATTCCAAAATCGCAGACCTAGATGGGATTTGAAGAAGTTATATGCTCAAAGACAAAGCATGCAAGAGACTGTAGAAGAGAAACTCAGTGCAATTGAAAGTGAAAGCAGAAATGCTGAAGTGCAGTGGAACAATATAAAGGAATCCATGTTAGATACTATTAGTGAATTGGTTGGTAAAGTTGAGAAGATAGCAAGAAAACCATGGGTTACACAGGAGATGATGAGTAAAATGGAGGAGTGAAGGAAATGGAAGAATGTCAACAATGAAGAAGGCAGGAGGAAATACAGGAGACTGAGGAATGAATTGAAAAGAGCCATGGACAGGGCCAAAAAGGAATATCTTGAGAAGATATGTAATGAGATTATAGAATTTCAAAGTACAGGACATTATGATTTGATGTATATGAAGACAAAATAACTAGGATGGAAAGAGAACCATGGGATTCAAAATATTGGCATCGAAGACTCCCAGGGGAATAGAATAGTAGATCAGAGGCAAGTGCTGAAAATTTGGGAAAATTATATTACTGAACTAT